GTAGGCGGATATCTTCATCCAGCTACTGCCCACCATATTGTGTTATACATAAATAATCTCAAAGGACTGGCACCGATAAATAACTCACGTTTGACGAGAATAGCAATCTGCTCTCCAGCTGCACGGCGCACACCTAGATCGGAGTCCGAACTGGAAAACAATTGCATCACGTGTAACAATCCGTCTAATTGCTTTTGATCTTCACAGTGTGATGTACTCTCTACTGGAACATCGTGCTGATCGAGCAGCGGCGGTGCCGGAATAGTTCCGGACGAATCGTACGCGGTTGGGATGAAAATATTGGCAAGTTTATCTGTTACTGTATTCAGAACAGTATTCTGTGTATCTAGCAGTGGAGTGCTCGTTTTGTGCTTCGAGTCTGACAAACTGATACCGGGTCCATTCAGGAGTACTGGAGGATATATGTTTAACGAGCCAGTATTCCCAGCTGTGGCTGAACGCGGTTCCGAAGTGACAGATGCGCCCTCTATCTGCCGCACCGATTCAAACTGTGAAAATCGACTACGCGAGTCCATGCCGACCGAATGACGCCATAACTGTTGTATGTAATCGCACACGACAACTGCGGCTCGCAATCGAACTTCGGGGGCCGGGTGCATGAGTAGGCGGCAACACGACATGATAACTTGTTCGAATACCTCATCGCTCTAACAAAAGAAGTAGAATACAGAAAAGAGAGCAATGGTTCAGTATGCCGACAAGGTATTTACGTTCACGACATAAAATGAACACCTCAACCAAAAAAGATACACATCGAAATCAAATTAATAAATTAGAGATGATAGAAAAAGAACCAGGCGACTAGACTTACTGCAGACGAATCTGTAATGGAACGTTCAACAACTCGATCACGATCATGCCATAAACGACGCCCATCTGGTGTCATTTGGCCTAGACACCAGTCAAGTGCGAGCGCACCTAATGTGTCCTGCTCATCCGGGCCTGAATAAACCTGTGCATATGGCCCCAAGGAGATAGAAAGGGGTCTAACTGCATCGGGGAGTGGGTCGGCACAGGCAGGACGCAAAAGGATCAGTCGGCGCAATGCTTTCCAAGTTGCTTGTGGAAGAATGGCGTATCCGTTTAACAATCGGACCAGGATGCGTTCAGTCAAATTGTGAATCTGACACACAAAAAAGAGGTAGCGACTTCAGAATGAGGGGAAATCGACATGTTGGGGAACGCAAAAACAGAGGTTAAACTGGTGCAAACAAAAAATCAAACTGCATCCAATGTGCAAAACTCACCTCAACACAATTATCTTGCAATCCAAACTCGATCAGTTCACAGAGTATTTCATCGCGTAGAACGAATTCCAATCCGTTGTTCGGTTTGGTCGGATTGGCCACAATATCCACATTAGTTGCTTCCTACCGAAGTACAGAAAGAAGACGCGACTATAATCTTGTTCGCAGAGGTTAGATTCAGTGCTCGAAAGCAAAACGAAACGTGCGAAAAACGAAAAATCAATCCGATATACACTGTGTGCAAAACAAACAAAGAGGCCTCATTAGTTTGAAGCACTCACCTGAACAATATGATGCAATTGGATGTAGGTTGTTTTACGAATCGATTCATTGCGATGAGATAACAACCTCAGTAGAATCATTTGCCCTTTCCAAATCGTCTCTGGTTGCCTCGCGCTATGCGTCATCGAGCTTTCCGATGATAAAGAAACAACAACAGCGATTAGAAACTGCCAGAAAAGTAACACAGATTTAGGTGTGCCTTGGTTTTGCGCCCGTTTTCGAGTGAATGATTTCAAAAATGTGGTGTTACTCACTTCTTGACGATTAAGAGACCGGGGTTTAAGACAACCGTGGAGAAATCTTTCTCCTATTATTTCATAAGGAAGTGACACAATATTGCTGGTGTCATATTTGCATTCTCCCTGATGAACCGTATTTATATTACGGGATAAAGACGACAGACCTGTGAAATACTAGTATTTCTATCATTAAAATCGGATAGGGTAGGGAAACAACACCTGTTGCTTAGTAGTCTATCAGGCAATCAAAGAGTATCTGTTCATTACACCAACCCACCAACGGGTCGTGATCGAATTTTCGATCCCTTCTGCTACACTTATTAGCAGCTATTTGTGTGAATCGACCATCAGACACGAGAAAGGATTTATTGGATTGAAAGAGAATGTGGTCAGAGTCAAGGAGCTTAACCGTCTAATCCAGTGCCCTTGGAAGGTTACTTTTATCCTGACACTTAGAAATGGACTTTCGACATAGAAAGCTGGAACTGCCACGAATTTAGTTTGTATCAAAGTGACTTGATAGATTCCTGCTCCATGAGATTAACTGGCCGTGGCAGTGATCCGGAATTGAGTATAGACACATGGGTGGGCCACAGAATCGCATATCTGTGCCGAAATTGACCCAGAAAACTCAATTAACACAGAAATTTTGGCATACGGTAACTTGCATTTTGTTGCATTATTAAAACAACTGTTGCTATTCCAAGTGCTAATGCTTATTCGCGATGCCCTGTTTGACAAAACTTACAGTTCACATTATGATGCAACGTGGATAGACCAGGAAACCAGAAGCTACGCAGAATATATCAAAAACAAGAAACAATCCGACAAAATTGAAGCCATTAGGTCGAACTGGAGAGGGACATGTGACACAGTTAAGCGATGCAAACTCACATTTCATTCAAGAACTGTACAAATGTGGAAGCAAAGTGGGTGGAACCTATAATTTCTAATGCATTCCCTCCTTCAACGGCCATATCCATCAACGATTCTGGGATTTCCTGGCACAGAGTAGAAGGAGAAGAGGAAGAAGGATAATTAAACATAAAAAACAGAAACAGACAAATCAACTTTATTCGACAAGAAATACGACTAGGCTAGTAACTCCAGAATAACGTATCGGTATGAGGCCTAGTAGTTGTTTGCAAGCTGACAATACACAAAACCAATAGAATGACAGCTGAAACTTTGTAGGCCTTTAATTCTTTCACTAAACAGATGTGTCAGAATCACATTGACGAGTTGAGTTAGTCGGCAACAATAGAGATAAATAACATCGAATGAAGAAACTTATATCGTAAAAATTTTTTATTACAGACGCATCATGCGCAAAATAAAACGTACTATTTTTTTATCCCGAATCGCCTCGAAATCGCGCAGGTACTGGACCAGAGCACGCATAGATCGCTGTAAGTTTATCAACATTTGCCACAAAGAAAGAATGGCGGAGTTGAACAGGGCAACATAAGCTGGGAGTCCGACAAGGACTAATCGATCCAAATCACACGGAGTGCATAATAAACTCGTGTCCAATAGTGCCATTGAGAATTGGGTCCGCAAGTCCGCTGGGACGACGGAGATAGCCTGATCCGACAGAGAACAATGTGGATGTGAGACGAAGGACTGCGATTGGAACAAACGTAACTAAATCAGTGTGATTGTGCTAGTTATCTACGGGAATTGAGTGAGCCCTTAAGTCTGCTAAAAAGCATTCCGGCACGAGCTACATCGTCCGTTACAATTCAGGCGCGAAATATGAAACCAACTTCAGTGCACCGATAGCAGTTATATGCTGGTCGGCAATCATTTTGAGGTATGGGGCTCAGATGTTGCCTTGTAACAGAAGCACCAATTGGGGCGCGACGAAATCTCCCAACCGGTGACCAGAATCAAACTCAGTACAACGCAAAAGGAGATCCTGACATTGTCATTTGTATGGAGTGTGATACTGAAGACTGTCAATGAGCGAAGTATTTGATAATGGATAGACAATTAATGAAGTACATTATCTGTAGTTCCCTACTATATTGTGTTAGCGAAAATTTCCTGCATCTAGTCAGTCAAAATAACATCTTTAATTCAAAACGACATTGCTTACGAATCTGTTGATATTTTTTCTGCCGTACTCCTTAATCTCATTTTGATTGCCTACCGAAGGACCTTTTCCTCATCCGAATGTGTCTAGTGCATTCAATTATGGTCCGTTCCTGCCACAAGTTTATAAGAATCTGGATTTTCTGACTAGTAGTTCCTTTCATTTTCCATTTTAACTCAATAAAAGCTACAAAATGAACATAATCTATACTGGCTGTAACCACTGAGATACAAACGAAATATCCGTACAGAGATAAACGGAATTTATAGCTAAGTATATTCGACAAGACAGTGATCCCTCAATCATGGAAAAATAGTTTTTTCACCTATTTACAAAGGTGGCTGCCGAAAGGATCCCGCGAACTGCTGTCCAGCTACACTCCTTGTTCTGTTTAAGGTCATGCACTTAATTGTTGCTGAGTCTCTAATGGAGTATTTCAAGAGGCAGAACATTCTGACACTTGTTCAATACGGGTTTTAGTGGTGCAATACAAGTCTTTTACTTGCTCCAGATGAGTAGATAAGAAAGTTTGCCGTAGGGGCGCCAGTATACGTAGTTCACTTGGACTTCTTCAAGGTTTTTGATAAAGTGAACCATCATTTACTGCTGCGAGAGCTTTACAATTACGGTGTTCAAGGACTGCTGCTTGGATCGAAGAGTTCGTTCGACAACTTACTGTATCAGTTCAAGTTAATGGTTCGCTATCGAGACCAACCGACGCTATCGATGGAGTTTCATGAAGACCTCACCTTTTCCCAACTTCCATAAACGATCGACCAGATGTTCTTGGGACATAAGCTCTACTATTCATCGACGACGCCAAAAAATGGAGAACAATACCATGTCCTGAAAATTATGCAACACCACAGGAAACACTCAAATCAGCTTACCGGTGGTCTATTATAAACGACCTCGAATTCAACGTTGAAAAATGTAGTTTTGTATCATCACATGACCTTCCATAAGTACTTGGAAATGAGTTATTGCAGTATGCTTCAAACGAGAACGATCTTGGAGTTAGTGTTCAGGAGGATCTAAGATGCTCCACAACTTATTATTAATCCGTCATCAATGGCCGTAAAGCAAGTTTTCGGACCGTTAGAAACAGACCTATTGCTCAGATTGCTATCAGTATACACATATTAGATCACAAACTGAGCATGCTATTTACGTTTGGCATCTATACATAGCTAATTTGTCACAAAAAGCCCTCAACCGATAGCAGAGGATGACAAAAAATGCAAAATCCTCGGACTCTAATGATCTTATTATCGCCGAATTTGAGATAACATGGTACTCGTATACATCAAATGCCGTATCAACCAAACCACTCGTGTAGGACTATGCTGCTACCACACAGAAATGATCACCTAAGAGAATGTCCCTTCGGGCCTCCG